CGCATTAGCGTGCATTGCCCAACTGGTTATAATAATAAATTAATCAATGATGTATCTTCCTGTTACTGTTTGCGACCTCCTCCAATCTCTCGACCAATTTGTTGATGCCGTTTCGCCAAAAATCGGCCGGTCTGGTGTCGAAGAAGTTGTTGAGCCAGTTTTCAAGAACCTCTTCGCCATCGAAGGTAACACTACTCATTTGGTTTGACAGAGAGCGGAAAGGTGACAGTCGGTAGGTGCAAGACCCGGAGAGTACGATGGATGCTGAAGAACCTCTCATTCAAGCTTTTGGAGTGCTGTTTTGACGACTTGGGTATTATGGGGCCTGGCGTTGTCGTGGAGCAAGATGACCTGACCTTGTCTATCGGGTCTTCCCAGCCGAATAGCCTCACTAACACGGTTTAGCTGGGCAATGTAGACCTCCTTGTTGACAGTAGAGTTTCGTTCGAGCATTTCCTAGTGCACCATGCCTTTCCAGTCTCACCAAACGCAAATCATGACCCTTTTTTGAGCGGAGGTCTTGCTTGACTCTCGGCTTCACTGTCTCTCCTGGGGCCACCCAGAGGCACACCTAAGACACCTTCTTCGTACACACTGCATATGTCCCGAGCGGCTTCGGCTGCTTATTGACCTCGATGAAAAGCAGATGTCGAAAATGCTGATTTTCCCTTCCTGGATATTCCAATTCTGAGCCAGAAAAAAGACATACAACTAGATTATCCAAAAAACGAATAATACCGTTTTATAGAGGAGAAAGAGCTCTTTCGAATGAATATATACACTTCACGAAAAAACAAAGCGAATCGCTGTAAAATGACCCTAACACAAAACCCTACGAACTTATGTTACAACCCAATACTTGCTGTGATTAAAATCAGCAATCACATCGGGGACGTAAGGTTAGACGCAATAGATGAATAACAATATTTCTACGAGCTCTAAGCGAGCACCCAAAACGCAGGAAGCGAATTCTTTTCAAGCAGTGCCAGTGTCATAAGGTTAAATTCGGAATACGCCTATCTGTCCATCGGAGATCGAGTATGAACACGCTTCAACTTTCGTTACTGAAGAGTTTAGAAAGAAAAGACGGAAGCACAGAAGCGGTTAACAGGAGGGATATAGGGAATCAACGTGGTAGCAACCCACGGTCTAGTAGCCCGGCACAAGACGTGATCCTATGAGAGACTCGCTGTATTGAAAGATTGTTAGAGCCAGTGTGAGAAAAGAAACAGTTCATTCTGAAGGAACCAGCCGGGGCAGGTGCAAAATACTAGTCAATCTACTTTATAGGTTCCCGAGCTACGAACTTCCCTGCTCGCAAGTAAGGAATCGGCCACTTCAGATGCATTTCGAGCAGTAGAGGATGTTTAGTTACAGCGAGAGAATAGAAGGTCTCACTTCACCTGAGGTATGGAATGTGCCATGAAATTGAACGGGTGCCGTCGAAACTGAGGGAACTGTTTTTGATTACACAAGTAAATTTCAATTTCATGCGTGAAAAGTCCATAATGGATTCCAGTCTCGTAGCTGCGCGGCTGACAAGGGTTCACCTTGAATGCAGATAGCGCACAAGAACCACGGTTGCGTAGAAATCCCAGAAAGTGCTCGCAGGCTTCTGATACATGATATGACATCAGGTTTTTGACAAGAAGCTGCTCATCAGCTTTTTTCCGCGAAATAGGTCTTTTTTAATCTTAAGTTCATCTTGACTGAAGTTATCGTTATAGTTAGTTGAGTTAAAGGCACAGTACACGATAAAAATGGTTTTTGGGATTCCCCTAAAGGATGAATTCGGTCCCTTCGTATACCATATCTGGCGCTATTAGGTCGGAAAACGGCATAGTTCTGGAGCTATAAAGGCTCAAAGATTACACTCTTTGGAACTTTGGACGAGTTTCACCGGGAATTTAGAGGGTGGGGAGCCCATGTAAGAAGTTCAAAACACTTGCCATGACCTATAGCGACAGTGAAAGGGAATTCTGTACAGTTCTAGCTCGAAGTAGTCAGCTGCTTGCGAAGTTGCAACAACTGAAATCTCGTCCGAATACCCCTATGTTATTTCCGTCATGGCAATCTCGTCCAACATCTATTTTCCCTGATGTTAAGGAGCCATACTTTTTTCGAAGTCGGCAAATTTTCGCGATTTCTTCACTACCGATGAACCGTTTCCAATCTATACTTCCACTTTTTGAATTAAAACGGGTACCTCAAAATTATCGCGAACTGAGCCTTTTAGCGAGTTTCTCGGAGCGAATCCCATCAAGCAAAATTTGAAACTCCAAAAACTCATGAAATGCTTACTATATCCTATGATATGTTTCCTAGAAGTACCTCACCTCATAGGTGGCAGTGTGGGTTGGTGATTCACGAACGTGCGTGCATTTGGATTGTGGTATAGAGGATTAATTGCTCGTTGTGGGCTTCCTAAACAAACAAGTTTTTACCTTTTGTCATTTTTAATTTTTATTACTTTCTTATTTACAGATATTCAGAATCTTAACATAATGAGAAATATACTCCAATTCTACATTAACGAATAGATCAAACAGTTTCGGAAGTTCGGCTTGCAATCACCCACGTCCAACCGGAATGAATTGTTGCGGCGGTGGTGGCGGTGGCACTGATCGGGGTGCCGGTCTTGTCATTCCGATCATGTCATAGTCATCACCAAAGTCGTTCCGCTTCATCGTTGGGGCACCTTTTATCCATGTTAAGCTATTCGGTGGTGAAAGCGCTGCTGGTGTGTCAGTAACGCGTTGTGGACGCTTAAATAAATCAGAATTATCTTTCATTTTCCTCGTAAGATTCTTAAATGTGCTTGAGAGTGTGGAATTATGGTAGTTGAATAAAACCACGAAATACTGTATTTGGAAGCAGATGAAGGTTTAAAAAAATCGGCAAAGGTGTGAGGCGAAAGTGCAAAGCGGGATAGAGCGGCGACTCTGCAGCCTTGTAGTGTTGCTTGGAACCGGCTTGAAGAGAAGAGGATAGAGATTTAGCCTGAATCTAACCATAAGGAGGAGGAGCACCGTGATTGGGAGGGGGGGGGGGGGGGAGGATTCGAACTCAAGTCCTATAAGATGTAGAAGTCCCGTTTCTCGAGAAAACCCGAATCATGGTCTAATGCCAATACCCCACATGTAATGAATCTTATTGTTAGAAACAATTGGTTGCTCATTGGACGACCTGATATTTTGTCACGGTACCGAGCAAAATGCCAGAGTTTCTCCCAAAGCGATGCTTCACGAGGAATACTGAGGGATTACGCTAGCAAGTCGAGATGGGAAGAGGAGTTTGAAAATTGAAAAAACTCCTAATTAGAAAATAACACAGTTTGCACACTACAAAACGAGACTGTGGTGAGAATGTATCTAGAACAATGACGTCAAGCCTACCAGACTAGGTTTGAGTGCCCCCAAAACAACTAACATTACCTAGTCCGTGGTATAAAAATCGTGTAGTACACAGGGAACGGATATTACATAGAGATACATATGTATAAGTTAACATAAGCGTATTTTTGGTTTGTTACATTTGGGGTCACTCTGACGTCTAAATCTCGTCATTTACGTCACCTTCAAGTTTTTTGAGTCTTGGACAAGCGATGGCGTTACTGTTCAGCGGAAGTGTGGTTGACACAGTTTTGATACTCAATTATGCAGACTTGTAAAAGCACAAGTAAAAAGGCACAAGTAGCAGTTAGTAGAAGAAGTTGAGCGGAACACATCTTCTGCCCTTCGAAGGTTGCCAGAGATAACCAAATGAGGTAGTCATCAGCAGTGAGTTAGTTAGAAAAAGGGGTTTCTGGGTTCCTTCTGGCTAAAAATCTTTTCTTACTCCCATTATCAAAATTCCTTTTAAATTAGTGTGTTACAACTGCAAGCGGCGCTTTCACCTTGCAAATATTTACATTCTAGTTAGGCTTTCACCGAGAACTCTCTTCAAAAGGCATGATTAGTAGGGAACAGGAGCATGGAGAAGAAAGAAAGCTGATGCATCCCCTCGTTGATCCTCCAAGCAAATGTACAAGCGAATGGAAGTGAAGTGCAGTGCATCCTTCTCCGTATTTTATTGGGTTATGTGCTCCAGAAAAGATGCCTTGACGAAGCCTCGAAGAGAGAATATCATTGAAGGGGGAAGTTTCGCAAATCAAACGTAAAACTACCATTTGCCATCGACGACCTTGAACCTTTTGCTGCCGCCGCCGTTGACGACGTTGCCGCTGACGACGCTAAATGCATGCTAACTAGAAAACCTACATAAGTGTCTATGTCGAAGCCACAAGCATACAGAATAAGCATTTGGCAAAAATCAGCGACGTGCACTACCTCTTTTTCCAGCTTGGCTTTTCGCCGCTGTTCTTTTTGTTGACGTCTAACCTTAGCTCGAGATGGCCCAACTATCTGTAATACTATTTATGTTGAGCGAACCTTGACAGTGTCATCCTACAAAATTCGTACATCCTTCTGGATCTTCTAGGACGAGCGGCTGATTTGGAATACCCAGAACTACATTACCCTTCCCAAGTCCAAGAAGGAACCTTTTGTTTTGGAAACACGCTCTTCAGTGGAGACGTCGCGTTCTGCATCAATGATCTCACTATAGGTGACAAATCCACACTGGTTGGTGGAAAGCGTGCGTGATACCAAAACTACGCCATTCCACGATTAGCTGAGATTTTGGTGCTCTGCGATAGCAGGTGAGAAATTGATGCAGCCTGCCCCATTTGATCGAAATGGTCTGTTACCAACTCCCAGACATCTTCACAACTGGACCTACTTAACAGAACAGCAGCTTTGTGTCTTACGGTCGATCACATAAACGCAATCAAATCGTCGGGAATCCTTGCTTTGGACAATTTTATCTGCCCCATTTCCTTCAGGCTAGACAGAGCTGTATAGCGATGGAATACAAGAAGCAGCTGGATGAACGAGCTGTATTGTCGGAATGTTCCCAAAGTAGACGAGCGATTGGTTCATTGATCACCAATAAGATCTGCTCATTGTCGCCATCATCACAGTCGCAGCACTCAGTTCGGCAATGGCGATCTTCATTGAGATGGTATAAATGTGCGCTCATAGCATTCATATGTTCATAATGGGCCCACGCTCATCTAGAGCTTCCGGTCAAAATCAGCGAATTAAGCGGCTTAAGCGACGATAAATATCGCCTTCGTCGTGTTCCTCGATGTGTTTGTTTGAAATCATAACGCCAGCAATCAGCAATCAAGATTTTCGATCCCCGTGCTTTCTTGTCCGTGACAAATCGAGCTCTGCCGTTCTTGGTTATCAGTTTTCCGTCTCCTAGTCGCTGTCATTGAGACTTCAAGAAGAGTGCGCAACATCAAGCCGCTCCCTGTTTCTTCGACGATTATCACTTGCTGAGAGGTCCACACAGCTCGATTTGTCTCATATCCGGAAAGGTGATTAGTGGGGAAGTCCGATAAAAAGGTTTCTAGAGTCCCGAGTAGTTCGAACCTGTGGCCTCCATGTAGGCCATTTGAGGTGTTGTCAAGTCGAAAAACGACCTGTACAGAGTGTAGTAAGGGCCCAATCTCTAGCATGCCACACTCAGAGCTATACGGGTTGCAACAGCGTTGTAGGAACACGTACAAAGGACAACTATGTTAGAAATTCGGACCATCGCGAAGAAAACATATGGTCACTTTGCGAAAGCAAGCCATGATACAGCTTTTTCCGTTCTTCTCAATCTAAATCTCCCTCTCCAAGTAACACTATTTCACGCGATTGTAAATTGAAACAAGTTAGCGGCACAAGGTAAAGCCGTTTCACAACAGTCTGCACAAATAAGACTACTTCAAGTTTCCAAACTTCACCGTGTTACATTTCAGCAGAAGTTGCAAGCAGGGGTCACGTTCTCCCATAATATCTTTACATCCACTCAAGTTGCAATTCCGATAGATTTGAGGAGAAATAAGAGCAGAGTAGGTTGAAAAAAAACATATGCAGTAGTTAAGAACCAATTTCTAGAGCTACGGCTTCTACTGCCTTCTATGTTGAAAGCATTAGTGATCTCGCCTAGTTGTTAAAAACTAAGTTGATGTTGTGAGAGGAAGCAAAAGTGTTACGTCGCGATCAATTCAAACACAATATCGACATCCGAGAAGTGAATGTATCAGGGTTTATTACCACCAAAACGACAACTATTGCCGAGCCGAATAAATTAACGTGACGTAACACTTCTACTTCGCTTTCTCGTCCTTCTTTTTTTCGCTCACATTCTCATCATTGTAGTCGGAGTAGTCCGGCACGGCTATATTGGTTGGGCCACCAATCACGGGTGCAGGGGCTGGCCCTGGTGCAGGCACTGGTGCAGGCACAGGCGCTGGATTCGCACCTCCACCGTTTCTCTGTAACACATTTTTTTGAATAAAGGGATTTTTAAGACTGTCCTTTATTAGACCTAAGAGTAAGAAAAGTGGAAGGTTTGAGCTCCAGATTTCACCATGACTCTTACACCATTATTCAGATTAAAATCCATAATTTTTTTTCGGGTTATCTCACACCGTAAAGACTAAGCAACATTGAAGAGTCAAAAATCTGTTCTGTACTTTTTGTCATTTGAAGAGTTCTGAATGAGTAGTGATTTCGGACAGAGTTCGGAGCAATGATTGTGAGGGCCAAATCTTTTTGTTATCGATTATCGGTTATCGATTCCCCATTTGGCCTTTTCAAGACCTTTTTGGGCTCAAAGACGCCTCCCCCATTCTTCCGTTTGGTTACAAGCTAATTCAAAAACCATCTGGAGATGTCTTTGAGCCCTCATTGTTTTGCCTGCTCGAGCGACTTTTACTACACAGATTCCGATAATCCGCATAGGGTATGGGTACATTCACCCAGNTTCACCCAGTTCTGGGTGGATATTCCGTCCCTCACCCACATACAACAATTAAGATTTACCACTCTTATAATTTCTGGTTTCAAAATGATGAACCAGAACAATTCAAAAAGTTCTCTGTCAATTGAATTTTATATAGTTAGCCCTAGTCTGAAACCATAGGTAACAATGTCTGTTCGCAGAGGTCCTTTTCAAAAAAAAATTCGCAGGCATATATGAGCATACACACACGAGCACATCTCTCTATCTCTTATCGCCGGAGCAGATTCTTCTTCTCATCACCCTTGCCTGTTGAGCCTACAGCAAAATTAGGCCCAAATTCACCGAAGATGAGATGAAGTTGAAGAGATGAAGAATTTGCTCACCTTGACTGCTACGAAAATGCTTTCAGCAAGGTTTTTATGTGAACAATGAGAATCTCATTATCTCTTCAGAATGAGCTGCTACTTACGTTCAATAGTCCGGCACCTAATTGAAATAAACTGGAAAGATCGGGTCCTTTGCCGCCGCCACCGCCGCCCAAACCAGCTAAGATACTCTGAAACACAAGAATGTACAGGCAATGAAATGTCTAGAATATATTTTCGTCCACGCCTTACCCCGATTCCTCCGCCTGGGCCTCCTCCACCACCACCAGCACCTCCTAAGAGTGGACCCAATAGTGAAGCGAAATCTTGAGCCTTAAATCAATTAAACTTAATAATCGGAAAGCGTTCAATCCACAGTCCACTTTCAATCACGCTTAACATTTGAAACTCTCCAAAAAATTTCATGGTGTAGTTTTCTAGATTTCATTTCGTTTTCAAGGCTTCAGTGACGACTCAAGTAAAAAAGCCAGGTCACATGAGTGATGAACAATCTCTCTCTCGACGATTCGTTTAAAGAAAGTTTTCGTAGTCAATATGCGGTTGAGCACTATCCGTCGATGCAACGAAATTTCTCTGCTAAAGATCCGCAACTGTGAAAACGAGGTCCCATTGATAACCCACGTTGATAAACTACTAGAAGAGCACCACGAATTCAGTCAGCTTCACAGCTCGGTTGCAGATATTCAGACATAGTGGTGATAAGAAGAAAATTTTGCCCTTTCTCAGCAATGGGACACCATGTCATAGGGGAATCGGGATCCCCAATAAAGTGTAAAAGAGTGCAGAAGAACAAATAGATTAAATAAAGAGTTTTTAGTTCTTATGTATAGCGTACCGCGGTCTTCCTTTTTCACCCAGATCAAAATCTTGAAGCAGCTCACCCCTCGTATCAACTCTTTGAGAAGAAATTTTGAAGGAAAATGACTTTGTTCATAGAAGAATTCGTTTTTCTTGCTTTTTTTTTAGAAAGGTATTACTTGCAGGGAAAATCTGCAAAAATTTGCACAAACATGTAGGATAATCTAGTAGTATTACCTTTGCTAGAACGATACCAGTGAATAGTATTGCAATCCAACGCATATTGGTGTCCTGAAAAATGTTAAATTTTGATGGTCAGTTCTGAGCCCCATCGTTTTCTTTTATTGAAGCATTGAAAAATAACAAATGGGCTTGTCAAGCTGAATGATCCACCGCAAATAGGACACCTATTAGAAAGGTACAAAGGGTAGAAAGTGAGAATTGGGAGCCATCAAAACATTCCTGTCGAAGAGCGTAAAAATTAGCATTATAACAGGAAGAGTAGCACTCAGAATCAAATGAAGTCTGCGAAAGGTTTAGTTGAAGCAAGATTGCGAGCTCTGACCCACTACTCAAACTTTCTTCGTGGATTTGTTGAATTATTCCTGACCTTTGCCAATAATTTACGCTGTCTAGGCTTTTTGGAGTAAACTATGAAGTATTTCTCTTTGCACCGCCTATTCCGGTGAATGTTCCCTTTGAGCAGAGTTATGAGCGCATGGTGATAGATCCGCCCACCTCGCCGCGAACCTTTTCCACCTAGATAAGTTGGTCACCCTCCTTCCATTTGCCTCTAACCATTTTCTCTGCTTTCCAGAACTTTTTCGAACAGTGTTACGGATTAACGATCCAGTCAGCCCACTTCAGTGCAAGCTCCACCCACTTCGACCAGGCCAAAATAGCAAAGTAGTAGCGTCAATGATATTCTTATGTTTTTATTAGTCTTATTGGTAATTCTCCAAGATGATTAAAGGCAAATGATCATGCCTTGATACGAAGGACAGATTTTTATGCACGCTTATTGCTAGACCAACAACGGATGAATCATTCGAATAAAACCCATCGGAAATGTCGTGCAATAACTCGAATTTATAAGGAAGACCAGCTCGGGTGAAACTTTCAAGACCGACACTGTTCCCGTTCTTTCATCCTTGTTTACTGTTTCCGAACTTTAACGGTCACAGTTTACTTGATGCATACATAGGAACAATGCCAACTTCAGTTTGAACGCCTTATCAGTCGCTGGATTGTTTTCAAAAGTTCTAAGACACTTGGTCAGGTGCTACTCATGCAATCAGCTAGGAACGATTATGTTGTGAGGTCTTATAAATGAATGTATGCTTAATTCTGTAGAGTTCAGGGAATCAAATAGTTAATGGTCAGGAGCGCAAATGGAAAGAGAAAGCGCCACTGTAGTCGAAAGATAGCTTATTCCGTTTCACTGGAGTCTCTTTTATAGGTGTAGCCAATGACCAGTTGCATTCGTACAAGTACGACACGACGCCATCATTACAAACCGGAACATCTGGAGGAAGAAACTGGAAACACAGCAACTGACCAAAAGCTACCTTTGCATTTTCCTAACAGATGCCTACTTTCTTCACGCCTATTTTTCCTTTCCCAAACTGGAGAAATTTCTAGGAGATTATAAGATCGCCTTCACCAGTGCTGAACCACGATTTAGCTTTTAATTTCAATGCAGTAACGACACTACAATAATTAGGATGATAGAAAAGATTTTTGGAAGAGTATCTGGTGAGGAAGTAAGAAAGAATGAGTGAAGTATTAGAGTATCAAGACAAGAATGACGGACAGCCCTCCCTGCGCCTACAAATCGATCATCAAAACTTCGAACTCCACAAAATGATACTATCACTCGAATCCAGTAGATGAGTGAAAAAAGGTAATTTCTGGTAATCATATCGCTTTATCAATCTCATTCTTACAGTACAAGCCAAGATGTACCCCCTTTTCAAGTTCCTCCAACATCTCACCGTGTGTATTTATACCGCTAACACCGACAAGAGAGGGTTCGAACCACCTCGTCCGGTTCTCTTTGAAAAGTTACATAGTTTAGAGGCTTCTCGGAAATCTTATTTCATTGTTTCACCTTTTGGACGAACTTTCGGTGCTTCTTCACGTTGGTCAGTATTACATATCGATGATTAAAGTGAGGCACAAGTGACACTGTCATGAGTGGAGATATACCTGAGAGCTTGAAAGTTCTGCGGAAGGTTAGCCTGAAACAAGGGTCGAACAACCTTTTGAAAGCCTACTCTTCACCAGAGATTAACTTCTTGTTTGCAGACTCGTAAAACGGGATAGAGCCTCTGATCTGAACAACAGCTACAATTTGAATAGACTGACAACGAATGACCAATACTTGTTTTGTTTCCTCATTCAAATTCGAAAGCTAAGCCCCCTTTTGCAGAAACTTCTCCATCAAATAACATAATTCTGATAAGCAGTACTTGCTGGAAAGTGTAGAAGCAGACGAGGCTGCTTTCATGATTGCGGGCCGCGAATCGACTAGTATATCAAATCCAGCCCAGAACAAGCAAGCATATCCTCTTTCCCAATCGAAATCTCAGTCGTGAGAAGTGCTCGCTAAAATTCTGAACTCCGTTTACTTTCTGTGCATGCTAGCCCTTTAGAATGACTNATACACATACACACTTCAAATCATATATCCTTCCAATTTTGGAGTGCTGCAGCCCCGTATGGAGTCCATGCCTTATCAAAGATATCAAAAAACTGGAGAAGGTCCAGAAGAGCTTTACGGGAATCTCATCCCATAGAGCGTTTCCTGATATAAACTATCCTTCCACTCTACCACCTTACAAAGACCGTCTTCACAAACTGAGTCACGCTGTTAGTCCTACCTCGCCTGGTGTAGCTGGCGCGTCATAGAACGCATGAATAAATAAATAAATAAATACAAAAAATCTCCTAATTGTCACTAGGGCCCCGAACGGAAGCCAAAAATCATAGGAACAAAGAATGGTCAACACTTCGGTTCTATTTTACACCTTAGGAACGAAACGTAGATTACCATTCTGGGATATGGCCACGCAGTTGATTTCGATTTGAAATTGTAGTTGATGGTGTATGTGGCCTACTCGGTGAGTTCCATAGTCAGACAGATCTACAGCAATCGGTGTTTTTTTTTAAGTTGTCAAGCGAGTCCAATACCAATTACTGGGCCCAGAGATAGACAGGGGAGCTTTTGAGCGCAGGTATGGGTGTGTGGGAAAATTATGCCATTGTTACATACGGTCTTTAGATCGATCGGGGATCTGTTCGAAGTCTATACGTTGAAATGGCGCAGGTTTTATTACCGCATTCTCAGCTCGAAACCTGAAGAACATTACGAATTCACAGTTTCAGCCTAGTGGCTTACATTGAGCTCGCAGGTCTAACTCAGGATGATGCCCCTGTCTTATGTACCAAGCAATGGATGCCATCAAATTTTGCGGTGATTTCCCCTCGGTGTTCATATTCAACACTCGACAAAACATCTGTAGACGATATTAGTCGTACAATAGATAGCCACAACTCAATCTCAGAGATTTTACCAAGGATCAAGAGAAGTTTCACAGATGATAGGAACAGAATGAGTGAGTTACGTCTACGGAACTGGATTCCCTTGCATGAACAGAAAAGGAAGTAGAGCTCAAACGTACACTGAATATCAACCACCGCTCCACTAAGAAACCCGAGTAACCAAGTAATAGGCCACTACAAGAGAAATGAGTAAGGTGAAGGATGAGTGAATGACAGGCTCGGTGACGGTGCAGAAGGTGGAGTTTACAGCCATCATGAGATCGGCATTGGTGAACTGGATCCTCGTTGTAAGCTGTACGAACGAAATCCTGTTCGACGGAGTTTGGCGAGAATGAGTCATCAATGCCATGGCACGGTGTCACCAGCTGCGAGTCACCTTAGTCTGGTTCAGGGTGCACTTAATCACCTGATCAGGTACCCCTGCAGTTCACATGGAAACGGTTCCCATTTCAAGAAGCAGCGCTTCATGGACGATGCATTGGAAGGAGTTAGAACACGAATTTGAAGAGCTCAATCACCTGTACGATTCGCAGACGAAATCATTATTGGATCGCTCAGGGTTTCCGTTCTCAAACGTTAGCTCTACTGCCACCATACTTTTTTTTTAGGAAGTAAAAGTAGAAGATGTTGGCTGACTCCGGCAGTTAGTGCTTCGAGTGCAACGCAAAGGAAATGAATTATCCATGGCTCCAGAATGATTTTTGAAATGCATGTAATAGAGAGAAAGTTGATATCATCCTGCCACTTCACCTTCCTTCTCTAGTAATCCCAAAACTTTTACCTTTCATCTGTCACCTCTACAACAGCTCAAGAAATACTAGAAAAAAGACTATCCAGCCGTGCGGATAACCCATCCCAGTAGGCAACTGGTTGTGCTCTATAGAGCAACATTGGCTACTTTATCTGACCTAATATTCCAAAAAGCATTCGATAGAAAACATTAGGATTACATATGATAGGTAATTAGAGATCTACGAACTGAAAGGTAAACCTAAGTTCATAAACAAGTGGCTACCCCCTTTCCAAGCCCTTGTTTTTCCTTCTTTTTCCTAATTTTTGAGCTCCTAATTTCCTACACTGCAGCGTACACCGGTAGCAGCCTGGCAGATACAGCAATGTGTACAACAGGTTTTGAAGGTAGAATGGAAACTATTGAAAGTGGCTCTTAGCACCTATCGCATATTTGTGTTTGACTATAGTTCCTAGAACATAGAGGAACTAAATTTACTGACCCACTAAACCCTACATTACAAAAGCGGAATAGCGCTAGCTACATCGACAGCACTGACGGGCAAGGAATCGCTCCCATGTCCACCAAAGGAACCGCGGATAACTCTGTATCATAATGTCGATAGCAAAGCACTACAATATATCCCGTTCTTCACGTACTAGTCCAGTCAGTATCTAAACTTTTCCTTTTTCACTGCACTTTTTAAACTCCTAGCTAAGAAAAAACTCTTGTCGTATAACCAGGTTACGTTGTGTTGTTGGTGATAGCAATTTTCCACACGTTTGCCTTATGCAAAGTCTTCAATAAATAAATTCAATAAATAAATAAATAAATGTGGATAATTCAAACAAAACTCTAGTTTCATAAGGACAACTGTTCTCACCTAATCATGAGAGTAAGCGAGGATTGCGAGGATTGTTCGATGGCAGCAACGCACGTTCCAGTAGAACCCTTTCTCAGCTCGTTCATCATGGAACAGTCTTCCGAG